TTTTAAAGCAAATCCAGACAGCAACCAAGTGTTTTCGCAACACAATAACATGTCCGAAGCATTTACCAGCGAACACGCTCTGAGAACAGCAAGCATCTTGTTTGCCGGGACTCCTGGTGTTGATCTAATGGAAATGTCTTTCTCCCATCTCTTGTGATGAATTTGTTTTAGCACATTGTTTCTAGAATCTGTTTCCTGTTGTGGTTGAAGCTGGACATCCACTGAGGCTCAGCCAGACGCTTGTTTTGTTCAATAGATGTTAATGAAGTGAGCCCACACGTGCCTTTATTATCCACACAGGACTCCATTGTGTGCGAGTCTTTGGCGTTTATGATGTGTATCTGTATGTGTCGGTTGATTCATTTGAGACTGCAGCATTGGGCGGGTGCGTTGCGATGCAAAAATACCTCGATGGCGTGCAAAACGCGAAACCCCAAAGCCCAAGAAATGACCTAATGGCTCATACTAAAATAGTTTGACGCTCATGCACAAAGCATCTGACAATCTCTGTTTTGCAGCCGCAGATCTGAAACACAGCGGCTTGATTCTTAACGCTTTTAATTAGCTTCAGAAACTCTGTCAGCGATGCATATGGCTCCTTTAACAGATTTAAAGCACTGAAAGTGTGAAGCCATAAGAGTTTGCACAACTGGGGTTTATGCTGCAAAAATAGCACTTGTAGGATGGTAGTATGCAATTGTGAACTTAAACCTAGATGTGTTTTTTCCTCCAGGCTGAATACGGGGTCTTGAAGGAGGAGGTCAAGGCCATGGCGAGTCTAGCGAGCTGTTTGTCAGACATGTGTCCGGAGAGGATGAACGCTGTAGGGACTGAGATTCAGACCAGCCTGAACGCCTGGGACGAGCTCGGCAAAAGTGTGGCCGAAAACAAGAAGAGGCTCCTGCAGTTTGGACACCTGCGCCATTTCTTTAGGAACTACCTGGCAATGATGTAAGTCAGTGATAAATCGATTAAATGAGACCTTGTTTTATTTCACATTTTGTTAAAGATAGATAAGAAGAACACGTACAGGTCATAATTCACCCCCAAAACCAATAGACAGGGATGATAATTAATATGCATAGTTTACATAAAAGAGAACTGTTTTTAGGACCATCAGACTTTTCTGCATTATGATATTTTCATGATAAACATGATAAACAATTCTCCCTAAATTTTTATTATTGTGTTAATGCACATTAATAATAAATAGAAAAAACAAAATAATTAAAAATAAAAACAAAAATATTACTATATATATATAATACAAATTGTTAAATAATAATAAAATAAATATATATGCTATTTTATATATGTATTTATATGTGTGTGTGTGTGTGTGTGTGTGTCACCCTTGGTTCATGCAAATAAAGTCCTGTCAACATATTCTCCAGCGTCTCCTCGTCCCTCGTGTGTGTGCAACGTGACAGTGTGTGTTTATATATATATACATATATATTAGTAATTTATAAATATAATTTTTTTTATTTTATTCATCACAATTAAGCAAGTTTCCTCCAAAATTTGTATTATTGTAATGTGCCTAGACATTTCAATTATGCAATTTTTTAATTAAAAAAAAATCAAGTATTTTTTTAAATCAACATAAATTAAATAAGAGTAGAATAAATGCTACCATAAATACTAAAAATGTATTATATACTTAATATTTTTCTCTCTTTTTTGAATATATATAAATTATATAATAAATATTGATTTGAATTTTTAATTTAAAAATACTGTAGTTTAGTAATGAGAATTTAATAGCATTAAAACAGATTTAAGAAAAAAAACTCAAAATGCTAAAATAATGCTAAACAAAAAATAATTTTAATTATTGAACAACAAAAAACTAAAAAGTAAATATTAGTTGTTGTTTTTTTTACAATAAAAATATTGAACAAAAACAAATGTAAATGTCTGGACGCATTAGGGTTAGGGTTGCAGTAATGCAAATTTGGGGTAAACTTACTTAATTAGAATAGAAAATAGTGACATAAAGCAAAAACTCATAGTGGTACTTCTTTCATTTGATTTTAGGGTGAAATGTGAGCTGGACATGCTTTGGTGTGATTCAACAGGAATGTTCTATGAACATAATTTGCAGAGCTAATGTTTGATTTATTGATGGGAAATGTCTGTTCACATTGTGTTCTCTTCATTTGTTTGGAGAAACGTCTGGTGAGCATCATCTCGAGCTGTGTGTGTTGGCCTGAAGCGCTTGTCTTCACCTCTCTCCCACAGCTCTTGGACAGAAGACACCCGCTCCTGCATTTTCTCAGAAAGCGCTCTGCGTCAAAGCCGAGAGAACCAGGAGCCTCTGGTTGAGGTTCTGGATCGGCAGATAGAGCAGAAGTTCGAGGAGTTTGATCAGCTCGCCGTGGCTGGAAAAAACCTCTTTGATGACGAGCATCACCTCAACACAATGGTATATAAGCTTTCTTTAAAATCTGCTTCAGTTGCATTGCTCAACTGATATACAAATAGATTTTGTAACTCTACACTCTCCCTAAGTCTCCTATGAAAGAACAACCTCAAGTTTCTTCTGGATGAAATAAAGTTAAAATGGTTTGGGGTCTTTTTCCATTGCTCTTTGTCTTGTGCAGATCAGAGAGAGGATGGAGGAGCTGAGGAGCATGCTGGGATGGATCCTGGTCCACTGGAGGGCTCAGAAGGATCAGCTGTTGAGCAGACAGAAGGCTGAAGAAGCTCAAGCTGACGCTATTTACTCCGAGGCCATGGTCTGCAGCCCACAAACACAGGTATAACCATTCATTTATAAATTTCCCTTCTGGGGATAAATGAAGTTTATCAATCAAAAAGTGTGTGTGTGTATAAAATAAATAATGAATAAATAGATAATAAGTAATTGATATCAATATCAATTAGAATCATTCAAATTATTCTCATTGATTGTTGAAGTAAAATACTGTAATACAATGATTCAAATTCTCAAATGCTATAAACAATCTTTATTGTTTTATTAATATCGTTTTTTTTCCATTACAGCTCATTTGAAGATGGGAAATGTGCTTATTTGTCTTAAATAACATCAGTATCAATCAATCAATATTAGCAATAATTTTTCAATTTACATCAGAATATATTCAAATAAAATTTAGTAATAAATACAATTTCGTGAGCAAATTTAGAAGCAAATGCTACTAAATGTAGAAGTATTTCACTTTATTAATATAGTGTTTTTTTTGCATCAGCTTATACCAAATGTATCAAATGCTACTAAATGTAGAAATACTTCACTATTTTATGAATATAGATTTTTTTGCACCAGCTTACATTACATGTATTAAATGCTACTAAATGTTTAAATACATCACTATTTAATAATATAGCATTTTTGCATTAAAGTGTCACAATGCAAACGGTCTTAATGGTCCTGAAATCCTTGACAGATTTCATGAGATCAACCCAAAATAACAAAATAAATTAAAAAAAATGTTTTTACATAAAGAAAATAAAACCTAATCTTTAAGATTTTTTTTATAATTCCACTTATTGTCAGTGATAATTTGTATTAGATATTCATTTTTATATTGCATTTTTTATTTAAATCATATATTAAATGAAGCAAATGCTACTAAATGTCGAAACAATCATAATGCAAACAAGCTTTACCATTTTATTATTATAGAATAAAATATAGAATATAAAGTGTAATTTTATTTATATATATATATGAAGAGTTCAGATGCAAAAGCCTCTAAGTTTTTTGTATATATATTTATAGTAATGAGAAATTGAATGCAGGAAATGTGCTTAATTGTCAAATAATGTCACAGTTCAAACCATTTTAAAAGTCCTAAAATAAAACATGTTTTTGTCTTTATGCGAAATACAATTTTTTATTTATCTTTTGTTTACGAAATGTGACTTTGAGTTCCTGGAGTTTTAATGAGATTGACCCAAAGATGCAGTCTCCTCCTAAGGCATTCTAATTCTGCCATTTTTCAGGTGGAAACCTCATCAGAGGTCTCTCAGAAGACAACAGAAAGCCTCACAAGTGCTCCCCCTGGTGACACGGAGGATGGTTTGCAGCACAGTTATGGATATGAGGTGATGCAAAGTGTCAGTCCAAAAGGAAGCAATGACAGCGGTCATTTAGAGAGGCCGGATTCACCATACCTGGTGCTAAAGGAACCCAGTCCCTCAGCTTTAGGAGGCACAGTCAACCTCATCCTCAGCTTCAGTAACTCTGGAGACACACAAATCCAGGTACAGGCGCCTGGCAGGGAAGGTGGTGTGCCGGTGCCCGAACCTGTGCACAGGGTGAGAATGATTAAACATCACAATCACACACAGTCAAACCCTATTGCACTTATATGCTGCTCTGTGTTTGATATCCCTCTCAGGCTCCTCACATTTCCTTCTCTTTCCTCAAAAACACCCTTCTCTGTTTTATTTTGTTCTACGTTCCCCTTCAGCCTGCTGAGTCTCACTCTTCTGCCTGTAAAGGCTTTTGGAAGCGCTGCCAGGGGCTTTCTGGTAGTTTAAAGCGAAAGACAAAGATTTATCGACACAGTGCAGAAGAGGTAAATATAGTTGGTGAATGCCCTGCAGTTGGCCCTGCACGAGTAAACAGAAACATGGTAATTGTATGCAGTGCTGGGTAGTAACTGATTACATGTAACGTGGATTACGTAATCAGATTCCAAAAATGAAGTACTTGTAGTTAGATTATACTACATTGTAAAATACTTGTAATCAGACTACAGTTACATTTTTATTGGTTACATTTTATTGGTTACATGATTACATATTATTTACACAATAGCAATAAATTATTCATAATTTTATCATCTTTTAAATGTTCCTTTCAGAAATAGCCTGCCGCTAAAAGTTTCCAGTATTGTGGACATTCACACAAAGACCAGTCATTAGTCAGCTGACTATAATTGCACAGAAAACTGAGAGGCCACACATTTGACTACTGGATTTTCAATATTTTGTTTTTTTCTCAACATCCCAACATTGCATCAACTGCTGGTAGAACTTTTTTTTTTTTTTATTGTCACTATGAGTTATTTAACTATGTATTACTATGTCTTTGGAAGGCTTTTGTCTTTCAAACGCAATTATTTTAAAATTATTGACATTTTTATGATATAATTATTAGCTTTTCTAATTATTAGCACTTTTCTAATTATTATTAGTTCCTTCACGAACCCCAGTTTGGGAAACCTTGACGTAATGTTGACTGCACTTTTTATGTTGTTATAACAAAGAGTGGAATATTTTCTTTCTCTTTGTATTTTTATATCAATATATTACAAGATTATCCTATTTAAATCAATGTGATAAACAAGTTTGGTCAATATGGAAGCCCGTTTCTGCCACTGAATACAAAAATTAAAAAAAGGTCATTGGCAATAAATTAAATTAATTCAGAATTGTGAGATATAAACTCGCAATTGCGAGAAATTCAGAATTGCGAGGTTAAATCTTGCAATTCTGATTTTTTTTTTCTCCCAATTCTGAGTTTATATCCCACAATTCTGACTTTATATATCACAATTGTGACACAAAACAGTCAGAATTGTGAGTTTATATCTCGCAATTGTGAGAAAAAAGTCAGAATTGTTAGATTAAAAGTCACAATTGCCTTTTTTATTTTTTATTTAGTGGCGGAAATGGGCCTCCCTACAAAAGTAATCTAAAAGTAATCAAAAAGTAGTCTGATTATATTACCTAAAATGTGTAATGTAATGGATTACATTACTAAATACAATTTTTGTCATGTAATTTGACATTAATAACGGACTACAATTTGTAAGTAATCTACCCAGCTCTGCTTGTGTGTGTGCATGAGGACTGTAGTGTGATGGACTGACTAACATCATGATCTCGAAACATCTTATCATATTTTTTTGATTACCGAAGCATTGCAGTACATCTTAGATTCATAGTATAATAGTATGCTATTCTGAAATATCGCCACTGGCTTGATCATTTATTTGTGCAGTGGTTGGAAAGGCAACAAAGCCAAAGAAACTTTGATGGAAGAGAGGTCACTGCGGTTTAGAGGAGATTGCAAACAGGTATGGGCAGGTAATGAGAAGATGACGGAGGAAATAGCCACTTCCAATGATCTCATTTTGAGCTGCCAGTATATGGGAAGTATTAGAAACCGGGACGAGAAACTCTTCCAAGACTCATATAAAGCCTCATTTCAAGCATTCAGGTTGTTTACAAAACTGTCTTTGGGAACATTTTGAAAGTAATTGCAGCAAAAATAAAAAGTGTGTTTCTTGGAACGGTTACAGGGGCTTAAATATAGTAGCATATAGTAGCCTTAAATGGTTTTGCAATATCCTTGGGACTTTTATTATGTTATTAGGGTCTGTGAAATGAAAACTTCGGTCAGTGTTAGAAGTTATTTTTGAAATGTTGCCCATTGCTGTAGGTTTGCAGCTCTCATGTAATCCAGTATATATTTTTGAAAACATCAGGAGTTTGTAGGGCTTGTGGGAAAATGTCTAGCTGCTGTCATATTGTTCAATTTCAAATGCATTTTATATCTGTCAGCAGGATTTTTTATTTTGTGCCCTCGCAGCTTTCAGAACATATAAAGGCCACTGATAACAAAAACGAGACCCTAAATATCAGAGCGTATAATCGCACAAATTCAGAAATGATGATTGAAACATGTATGCATTGAGTCTTTTGCACTCATACAATAGCTTTGCATGAGGAACAGAGCAAACTTTTAGTCTTTTTACTAGCGCTGCCCCCCATAATAGTCGACGAGAAGAGGCTTAGTCGACAAAAATGTCAGTTATTTACAAAAAAAAATTTTTATAATGTATATCCTTGTGGCAATTACAGTATATCAGGCAGGAAATCCAAATGTTCACCTATCATTCATCACCCTCAAATATGGCTTTTCATTTGTAATTGAAACATGTAAGTAGTAGAAACTTTACATGACCGCTCGCTCTAATGTTAACCTAGATAAATGTGCTCTATTAGGCGCATATCCAAGTGTTTGTGTGAAGTGTGGAAGCTATTAGTTAGTGCACACTGTATAACATGGAGGCTCCAGCAACTTGCATTTTCTCCTGATAACAGCAAAAACATCTTAAAAAAATGCTGTCATTTTGCTCATACAGATAAGAGTAATAATACATCATTTGAAACTGTAAAGGGTCTACTTTTATTTGTGTACACTCACAATATCAACAAAATGTTGTGCTTTTGTAAAATAAAGAAAACAACCAAGATGTGTCTCCATGAACTGGAAAGCATCACAAAAATGAACCGAAACTCAGTGTTATAGGCTACTTCCCTCACAGACATGAGAAATATATCTATAGAAAGCTTGAAATGTCTACTTTTAAATGAACCAATTAAAATAAAAACCAAATGCTCTCTAATTATGTAATCCATATGAAAGTTGCATTTTTCTCTAAAGGCGCATCCACTGTACTAAATGGCAAGTCAGCACTGTCAACTTCATCTTTGCAGCCGACACCGACTCAGAAAATTCTAGTTTATTAATAAATTATTAAAATATCTCCTTGCTATTTTTCTGAAACTTTCATAGTCATCATAGTTCATTTTTGCTTTGCGACAAGCATTTTGTGTGCGCTTGAGCATGGAATAGGCTATATATTAAAGCCTATTATTTAACTAATTAAACGGATATAAACGTGATTAGTGTACTAATGGCTTAAATTCATTTAATTTGTTTAGTTAAATTTAAAGTCGAATGGAAAAATCTTTAGCACTACTTTTTACTCTTTAAACTCTTGCTCCATCATGACAAATGAGTCAGAAACCAGCAGAGGCCATAGGTTTTTATTAGATCTAAAGATTTGCTGCAAATCAGTTGTTTTAATCAGATATGCATGGATGGAGAAAGACAATGACAAAGGAAGCAGGTGATAAGAGAGATAAGATGCATGCAGTGGGGTTTTTCACTCTTATGTAAGCTCTTTTTCGGGCTGATGTAAACACTCATGACAGCAGCGCGGTGCTGAGATGTGACCTCACCCTTCGCTTCCCATGATCGCTGAGTTTTGAAATGGCTCCCAGCAGGAGCGGGGGGTGCTGGAAAATTTGTTGTGAACTTTCTAGAAGGCCATCCTGACTGCCCTGTGTGATTTATGGTCTGGGGCTGCCAGAGCAGCACAAGATTAGTCATGGGGTGAAAGGTCAAGCCATTACAGCTGTGTATGACGACATGTTTAAGAGCAGATGATTCTTATTAAGCCCAGAGTTTAAAAAAAAAAAATCAAGTGTGCTTGTGTAGTCATGCTAGTGTTCTTTTGTTCATGTTGTTCTCATGTAAACCTAATGTTTTTGCATTAGTGGTGTTTGCTAAGGTTTGGTGTGGCTTTTTGATGTAAGCAACCACTCAGAACACCATTGCACAACCATCTAGACCAGGGCTGTCCAAACTCGGTCCTGGAGGGCCGGTGTCCTGCAGAGTTTAGCTCCAACTTGCCTCTACACACCTGACTGGAAGTTTCTATGCCTAGTAAGAGCTTGATTAGCTGGTTCAGGTGTGTTTAATTAGGGTTGGAGCTAAACTCTGCAGGACAACACCGGCCCTCCAGGACCGAGTTTGGACAGCCCTGATCTAGACCATCAATCACATAGCCTTAGCAACCACCCGGAACACCTTCGCAATCACATACTGTAGCAACACACTAAAAACCATTCAGAATAGCTTAACAACTGCACAGTAACGCCCTGACAACAGTTCAGAACATTTTAGTAACAGCATAGCAACTCCTTAGCCACCATCTAGAACAACTTAGAATCACATAGCAACACGCACACAAAACAGTCAGAACACCTTAGCAGTTGCATAGTAATGCCCTGAACACTATTCAGAACATGTTAGTGACAGCATAACTTCCTGGCAATCATCTAGAAAACCTTTACAATTACATAGCAATGCCCTAGCAATCACCTAGAACATCTTCACAGTAGCATAGCAACACACTAAAAACCAAATAGAACACAACCATGTAATATTGCCTGGCAACTAACCAGAATCCCATAGCAACACCGTGGCAACCACCTGTAACAGCTTAGAGATCACGTAGCCTTGCCAAGTATCCAGAACACATTAGCAAAAGCATAGAAACACTTTAGCAAACACCTAGAGCAACTTTCCAATAACGTAGCAACACACTAAAATACTCAGAACCTTACCTTAGTGACATTTTGACGACTAGCCACAACACCTTGGCAACAGTATAGCAACGCCCTAGCAACCACCTAGAACATCTTAGCAACAGCATAGCAATACACAAAAACACTTAGAACACCTTAGCAACTGCATAGTAATGCCCTGGCAACGATCCAGAACACCTTAGCAAAAGCATACCAACACAATAAAAAACACTTATAACATGTTGGTAGCCACATAGTATGAAACGACGACATAGCAACTCCCTGGAAAAACTTTCACAGCATACTGGCGGTGTAGTGGCAAGTTTTGCATAATTTTTCTTCACAGAATGTAAGAATTGTTTATTTTTTCCCATAACAAATGTGAATTCCAGCTGCTTAACGTAAGCAGTGAAGGAAAAGATGTTTCAGCATTTTAAATGTTTTTTTATCATTGCAGAGCGATGTCATCATTCATCAGTAACAAATGTGAAGCAACATGTGTCTGTGTTTTTGCTTTGGAATGCTTTGCTTGAGCCAGACACTCACAGAAGTGCTGTGTTCAGATACTAAAACACTTATTTTCATAAATGGTTATACAAATAATAATTTTTCAGTGTTTGAATTGTGAATTACACTGGCCATAAAAAGTATTTGGACACTTGAGCCACACTTAAATATGAATGTCAGTGCATAAGATAACAAAATAACAAACCAAGTCACATTTGTTATAACGATAACACAAGCACACTTACAAAGGTCCAAAATAAAGACACTTTGTGGTTGTGAAACATGTTGATTAGTTAATGTGATGAACTACACCTGTGTGTATTTGAGAAAAACTGACTTCATGCATGCATTAAAAATGACAGCAACCGTTGTTTGCAGATGCCACTTCATTTGATATTTTGTTTTGGAATGCAATGGCATTCATTCATTTGTATGTGCGACCTAACCGCCCAAATGCTTTTTAGGAGCACTGCACATCAGATAATTAGCATGATGTATCTTTGAAGGGTGAACTTTGTGTTGAAGTGTGATACTTATGCATGCGATCCAATTTATGCATGGAAGAAAAAAAGTGATAACCCTCTAAAACAATCTTTTCCTTGTGTTTTAGGTAAGTACTTACTTGCATGTTACGGAAAACAACACGGCAGTGTATGAGAGTATGGCGCTTCCCCAAGACAAAGCTCCAAGGCCCTCCTCCTCCTCTCCCAGGACCTCCCTGTATGCTCTCTCCTCTCCTTGCACCTCCCCATACTCCTCGTCCTCCATCGAAGACACACTTCAGCAGGCCAACAGCCTGCTGCCAAAGAATGGCAACATCTCAATCTTTAGCAGCCTGAAGAGGAAGGGCAAGAAGGCCAAGAAGAAGAAAGATGACCGTAGACACACCATTCAGAAGATCATGGGAGAGGATCTGTCAGAGGAGGCTGATTTGCCACCTGTACGTGAACCGGTGACATACGATACACATACTTGGCCCCTGAAGGAAAGGAAGAAGCAGAAAAATGCAAGGAAACCAAACAGCGATGGGACTCAGGTCTTGGACTACATAAAGAACCCTTTAGTGAAAGACATAGATGCAGAATGTTCTGGAGAGGTTGGATCTCCAGTTCACAGCACCTTAGAGGTTGCCACCCAAGGACATGTGAAGAACCACTGCAGATTTCTGTCCTTGGGCTCTGTGTTAAGCTTCGACCTGCCCAAGGATATGAGCCTTATCCCTAGCATTCAAGATGTAATCACAATTGGCCCTCCTGAGCAAAAGAAGACAGACTCTCATCACCAGGACGCTCAGGTTGATCGTTCGACAGCTCTGAGCACCTTTAAAACGGTCCGCTCTCGTCCAATGCAAAAAGAAGAGCGCAAACAAATTTCTCCAGCTGAAGTAACCCTTAAGATTGATTGTAAAGACTCCAAAAAGATCAGCATTGACACGGTTTCATTTACTGAAGATGAATATCCTCCTCCACCTTCTCCAGTTGTTGAAGACATCTCATTTGAGGAGAATCATCCCTCATCACTCAGTGATCTGACCAATATTCAACAGAAACATCTGTCTGGGATCAGTATAGTGCCCAAAGAAGAGGTGGTTAGTTGGAACGCAAATGCAACTCAACTTGAGAACCACTATGTAAGTCCTCCAGAAGATGCAATCCAAGGTATAGCCAACCACTGCTCAAATATGGCAGAGATTCATGTATGTCCTAGCGTCCATACCTTGGTTCACAATCTTAATGGACACGTGTTCCATAGGCCAGCAAAGAACTCCAGAACTCAACAGTTAAGTCCCAGCCATGCATCTCATGTAGTGTTGAACTTCAGAGCCAATGGAAGAGAGGACTCAGTGGACTCTGGTCACTCCAGCTCTGGAAGCTTCAAGTTATGTGCTGAGGGTCCATACGTAGACTCCTCAGATTGTCCAGTGCCCAAGAGAACCATTGGGAAGGTACCATCCCTGGATGCAGGAGTGTCCAACAAGAACTTTGAGTTCTCCAAGGACAAGAGCATTACCTTATCTATCGACATTGATGATCCAGTTCATCCTGACCATCAACAGTTTGAGCAGGAAGAGGAGGAGCTGGAGGACATCTGGAACCACACCAACAGCTACCGAGAGAGTCTAAACTCTGACATCATGTATAATGGCTACCAGGCCACCTCTTCTCTAGACCAGCACAGGGAACCCTCACCCAAAGAACAAGCAGTGCTCTTCAGGAAGTTGGTCACAGCCTCTGCACCCAACCTTCTTGTGGCGGAGTTCAGACTGCCACCGTCTGTCCAGACTATGGTGGGTTCTGGGAAGCAGCATAACCCAAGGGAAGAAAGGCAAATTCTGGATAAAGGAGACAGAAGGTCTTGGGCTGCGTTCACTCAACAGGAACAGGTTTACAAACAAGTGGCTGTTAATGAAACGGCTTCAGATATGGTGAAACTACCTGAAATACAGGACCAGCAAAAGTATATCTACCATTATAGAGAGGAGGAGGAGGAGGAGGAGGAGGAGAAGGAAACAGGTTTTCTGAAGGTGAGGTCTGTAAGTTGACAGTCAAACCTTGTTAGATGTTGTTTAGGACTGTTTTAGTCGGGTGTCCAACCCTACTCCTGGAGGGCCACTGTCCTGTAGAGTTTAGCTCCAACCCCAGTTAAACACACCTGAACTAGCAAATCAAGGTCTTATTAGGCATACTAGAAACTTCCAGGCAGGTGTGTTGAGGCAAGTTGAAGCTAAACTCTGCAGGACACCGGCCCTCCAGGACCGAGTTTGGACAGCCCTGCTATACACACAGCTCCAACCCCAGTTAAACACACCTGAACTAGCAAATCAAGGTCTTATTAGGCATACTAGAAACTTCCAGGCAGGTGTGTTGAGGCAAGTTGAAGCTAAACTCTGCAGGATGGTGGCCTTCCAGGACTGAGTTTGGACACCCCTGGCTTAAGTCCTGCTCTTGGAAGGCCAATGTCCTGTAGAGTTTAGCTTCAATCACACACACCTGAACCAAGGACCTCAAGGTCTTCATGATTGCTAGAAACTTTCAGGCAGGTGTGTTGAGGCAAGTCAAAGCTAAACTCTGCAGGACGGTGGGGCCTTGTGGTTTAAGTCCCCTGGTTTAAGTCCTACTCCTGGAGGGCCACTGTCCTGTAGAGTTTAGTGCCAACCCCAATAGAACACACCTGAACTAGCAAATCAAGGTCTTGTTAGGAATACTAGAAACTTCCATGCAGGTGTGTTGAAGCTAAACTCTGCAGGACGGTTGCCTTCCAGGACTGAGTTTAGACACCCCTGGCTTAAGTCCTGCTCTTGGAAGGCCAATGTCCTGTAGAGTTTAGCTTCAATCACACACACCTGAACCAAGGACCTCAAGGTCTTCACGATTACTAGAAACTTCCAGGCAGGTGTGTTGAGGCAAGTCAAAGCTAAACTCTGCAGGACGGTGGGGCCTTGTGGTTTAAGTCCCCTGGTTTAAGTCCTACTCCTGGAGGGCCACTGTCCTGTAGAGTTTAGTGCCAACCCCAATTGAACACACCTGAACTAGCTAATCAAAGTTTTACTAGGCATACTAGGTTTTACTAGGCGTACTAGAAACTTCCGGGGAGGTGTGTTGGGTCAAGTTGGAGCTAAACTCTGCAAGACTTTGGCCCTCTAGGACCAGGATTGGACATCTCTGGTTTAAGTAGTTGACTTGTGCTGCCTTGAACATGTCAGAATGATATTTATGAGATGAGCACTCATGGCTGAAGTAGGAACTTCCGAGGACGATTGAGGGTTTTATTTGGAAATCTTTGCCCTCAAAGTAAGTTGTGGCCAGCATATCTCATATCATTTTGCCCATTATTGTAGTTCTGATTAGTGCATGTGCAATCTGTTTTTTGTCTTGGCAATTAATGCATTGATATGTGTTCTTTCTCCACAGGACCAATCCATGAGCCTCCTGTCTGTTCATATGGGATTGGATGGGACCAATGACAATGATATCCAGGTACCCAAAGTATAATTACAGACAATATACAATAACAGAGAGTATATGCTTAAGAGTTCTTCAGAATATCGAGAAATAATTATTGTATCTCATCATTCAAAGATTGTTAATTCTAATCTTTGACCATTGTTTTTCAGAGTGGAAGACAAGAACTGGAACTGCCATCTATGGAAGGTACACTGGAGAGGAAACACAAACTACAACTGGGTGGAAAGAAGGTAAATATCACAATTACAGATATTTTCTTGACCCCAACCACAACAAATAAGCATTTTGTGTCTCATGCCTCATGCTCTTACCTGCAGGCTACTGTGGTAGATGTCAAATTAGGTTGCATTTCAGTTGGTCTTTATGTAACCAACAAAATGTACTATTTCAGGCACCATGCAGGGCGTGGAACTCCTATCATGCTGTGCTATACAAACAAACGATATGTTTCTATCAGGACAGGAAAGATACACTCAAGGTAAGCTTGAAGACTTCATGTTCTGGCTTTGCAACCAAGTAGAAAACTTTGTGTTCCTTTATTGCAAAAGGACATCATTATTTACATTGCAAGGTTGAACTGTGATTAAATTGTGATTGAATTACGTTTAATGGCAGCTGTAAAGCATCTAAGGGTATGAGTTTAGCCAAAATGACTCTATATTTGTACCCCATAGAGCTGTCTGACCAGCCATCCTCTGAATCTAATTGGAGCGGTGTGTGAACCGTCGACAGAGTACACCAAAAAACCCAACTGCTTCTGCTTGAGGTAAATGTCGAACAACTAAAGGGCGTCTCATGTTTATCTTAGTTAGAGATGGAAGTAGTTGTTTTTAAATCACTTTCACCTGCACATATTCAGTTGAAGGACTTAACTTTTCTCTCAGATTGCGGGATGGATCTGAGTATCTCCTCAGTGCATCGTCCCGATTTATGATGAAGAAATGGATCCTCAGAATCCAAGCACACACTGGTATTATACCATTAACTATCTGTCTGTCTGTTGTTAACAAGCTTTCAATGCTGCATTAAATGACCACAGTTATATTCACATGAAATCCTCTTATCTCTACAGTGTCTAGTGATTCTGTAGTGAACAGATCAACATGTCATGGGTCTTCAGCTTCAGCGACGCTCCCTAGACATTCTCCTGCTATCACCGGCTGTCAGTGTGGAGATAAATGTCACTGCTCCATGAGAAATTATGTCACCACCACCGTTTTAGCACAGAGTCAGCCCGCCTCAGGCCGAACCAAAGAGATCATAGTTCACACCAGTGACGTTCTGCAGATCCACCAAAGGCATCAGGATCCGTTGCTCCCCTCGTTCTCAGATGCGGGTCATTGTGGTAAGAAACTGTGTGACTAATACAGTTCAGTGAACTGAGAAAAAATAACACAACAAATTATAATTTGAAATATATTTCAATACAAAACAGTTATTTTAAATTGTAATAATCTTTAATTTATTTGATCCAATAAATGTAGCTTTGGTGAGCATAAGTTCATTTCATAATTGATCAAAATTTTATATATAAATGTAAAAAATGTATACACAATGCCGTGCATTTTGCAGTAGTTTAATGCTTCTGTTCATTACTATTATGTCTCATTTATATAAATGAGGGTCATTTAAATAAATTACTCAAGGTTTTAGTCGTATTTTATAAACCCTCATAGCTCTGAGTATTTCATTTATAATATGTATAAATTGTTAGCTAGTAGCTTGACTGTAGTTGCATTACTTTAAATAGCACTACAAAAAAATAAATAAAATGATAATAATAATTTTCTTAATCAGTATTTTGCCTTGTCCAGTAAAAAAAAATCTATAAATATATATTTTATCTTAAGTATGCAATTATAGTGGATTTAAAAGCATAAACTTGAGATACATGTAGCTTTCATTTTGACAGTTTCAAAGTAGCTTTCTCAACACAGGCAACTAATGCAAGTAATAAATAAATAATATGCAAGATAAATGTTTTGGACATCCAAAAGAGGGCAGTAGAGTACTCTAGTGCTGATCGGAGCTTCACGCAGACATTATGAGGCATGGTCACATCTGTTTGCTGTCAGCGGCTTTCTATTTCTGGAGAAGCACTCTGGATTTTGTCATTTCCACCTTGGTCACATTATTTCTCACCTCGAGTACTTTGTTACTCACTTATGCTGTCTGCCCTTGTACTGCAGAGGTTGAATGATTCATTTTCTGTTTTGTTTTTTTCTCTGTAGAGGATGACTCTCATGGTGAGTCTGTGAGACAGAAACCGTCCTCTATGTCCACCATTCAGGGCTGGACCAGCGAAAAGAGACGCTCACACTCCTTTACCTCAGGTACATCCGAGCCACATTTGCCACGTCCAATTAGGACTGAATTCAGCTGTACTTAAACTAATATAGGGCCCTATGAAATCGGTTTTATTTTTCAAAATTCGGTTGTAATTTTTTTTTCTGTTTTAATATTTCTGGGCTGTGTTTTACTGGTTAAATTCAGTTCGAGTCAAAAATCATGACATTATGAAACTTGTACAATTGAACAACAATTTATTAAAAGTAAAAAAAGAAAAAAAAAACATTTTAGGGCCATATGGAATACGTTTTATTTTTATTTTTTTCCCAAATTCCATTTTTCCATTTACATTTTTTTGGATTCCGTTTTAATGGTTAAATTAAATGTTAGTAACCAAAAAGCATGTAATTAATTGAAATCATGAAACCTATGCAATTCAACAAATTATTTAAGTTTAACAAAAAAAAATGATGGCCCTATAAAATACATTTTATTTTTCTTAAATTCTGTTTTCAGTTTTGAATTTTTCTGGATTCAATTTTAATGGTTTAATTACATTTTAATAATCAAAAAGCATGACTAATCAATTAAACTTATGGTTAACTGTATGGTTTAATACAAATTTATTATCCAAAACTGTGGTAATCAAATTAAGACATGAAACATTAACAATATAATTAAAATGTAATCAGATAAAAATTAAAAATTTTTTTTGTTTTTTGGCAACAGAGGTTTACGTTTGGTTTACTATTGAAATTAAAACATGAAAGAAAAATTGTGTAATTATTCCTTTAAAAAATTTTGTACTTAATGTTTTTTTTTTTATCTCGGTCTCTACAGCCACATATCAGAGGATCAAGCCTGTAGCGCCTCCTTCAGGCAAAGGCCAGGACAGCAGCTCCAGCTACTCTGTGACTCTGTTCATCGGAGATGGTGAGATGCCGTCAGTCTGTAAAAGCACAGCGACGGCCTCGCCAAACAGCGTCCGGCAGGAGTCCTTCTCCGATCTGCCCATGAGGAGCTACATGAGCCTCCCGCGACCCCCCAACAAATCAGTCTTCAGGAAGTTCTTTGGGAAAAAGGAGTGACGGACACTTTCTGTGACACTGCAGGTCAAAGACCCTGACTGACATGTGCAGGACACAAGTTCAAAACATTTTTCTTACATTTATTTATGGATCTGATGGAGAACCATTTGTGTATACTTTTTTTTAATGAGATCTTGTATGATTGTGTTGTTGCAAGATGTGTAATGTTCACTCCTACAACTTCTCACGTCATCAGCCGTTTTATATCGGGCTCATGGATGGTTTAGTCAAAAATTAAAATCATTTCATCATTTACTCACCATCGTGTTGTTCCAAACCCATATGACTCTTTCTTTAATGGAACATTATGCATTTAGCTGCACTTTTATCCAAAGCAAATAACAAAGAGGAACAAAACAAATGTTATCACTGAGCCAATATTCATAATTTGCAACACCAGCAGGTTTATTAGACTATTTAGAAGCAAGCTAGAGAAGAGGAGAAATGCAGAGAAGAAAAAAGATGAAATATTTAAAGTACAATGAAGTCTGCCAAGCTCCAAAAAGACAAAAACACACCACAGAAGTATTAGAACAATAGTGCTTATGACTCATCCACTATATACCAATTGCTCTGAAGTCATAAAACAGCTTTGTGTGAGAAACAGACCCAAATTTAAGTCGTTACTCTCTACCCAAACATTTTAATATGAATGTCCAAAAATCAAACTTCATTGAGGGCTGTGGGCCAAAAGTAAATGCATTATATCCTAGCTATATTATATTGGTATATTAAATTATGTATCAAATTCAATTATATAATATATTGGTCTATTAAATCCAACTAAATTATTTTTTTAAGATTTTATCTTTGGCATTTTTCCCCTTTTTATTCAGACAGGACAGTATTTAGACAGGAAGTGAAGTGGGAGAAAGAGAGGGGGCAGTGGCAGGAAAGGTCTGCAAGCTGGGACTCGAACTCAGGACACCCGAAGCACAGTGGCGCTACATGTCAGCATGATGCCCACGAGGCTATTGGCACAGACTAAATCCAACTATATTATAATGCATCAAATAAAAAAATGTAAATGTCATTTTTTTTATTTAAAAATTTATATATCTTTTTTTTTATTTTTCAGGACAATTCACTGTTACTTTTCAGTGTAAAAAAACTAAATAGTTAAAAAAAATGCTAAAACAAAAATATCAATTAGAAATAAAGACCCTCTTGTGATATATGGCATGACGGGCCAAATCAAAGGTCATCACAGGTCAATTTAGGGCATCTCTGCTCTCTGTAAATCTTCCCTTGGTGCTTTTTTGTCATTTTGGAGCACAACTGACCCAGTCCCCTTTTGTTACATAAAATGTATATCCAATTCTTCTGGAGGGTCACTTTGTTGCAGGATTTAGCTCCATCACACCTGCCTAGATGTTTTTAATGACTTTAAACACTTTAATTAAACTCGTTCAGGTGTGTTTAATTAGGCTTGTACCAAATCTCTGTATGAAAGTGGCTCTCCATGAAAAGGATTAGACAGAATATAGTTCAAAAAGTAAATAACAAGAAAATAGGAGCATCATGAGGGTGAGTAATGAATGATCTATTCACACTAAAAATTATGACTATATTATATTATATAAAAACTTTTTAGTTATAGCTGTAATCATTGGTGTGAACTTTCATTTATGGATGAACTCTTCCTTCAACCTCAACATTTTCCCATGCTGAGATTTCATTGTTTGCCAGATTTATTTCATGTGTATAAATGAGTGCAGTTTGCTGTGGATGTGATGACAGCCATAAAATACTGCCGTACTGAATCTACTGATATGAGACTTTTGATAGCTAATGTGTTCAATGTTCCTACCACATTCCACTTGAAGTGGTTTTCAGTTCATGTATGTTCTGTTTTTGGCGTGGATTGCAATTTCTCTGAAGTTTTGGCACATGTTATTTTTCAGCTTGTCATGTTTTTCTGTGTCGGCTGGTTTGAGTTCTGTGTGGGTTCGTTCAACCAAAAATGAAACTTCTGTCATTATTTATTTACTTGAGGGTGAGTAAATGTTGACAGTAATTTACATTTTTGGCCAACTGTCCCTTTAACGTGTTTTTTTTTCCAGACTAAACATTTGATTCACATACTCTAGCATTGCTTTCTGTATTTAAACTAATGCAGTGTGTCAGGATGTTTTTATAGGAAGATGTTTTTTACTGTCTGGGTAATGCATGATCTTTTGAGATTGGTGGCATGAATGTCTATGACCATTTTTACACAATTTAAACATGTAATGCATTAGATATTTTACAGTGGGAAATATGTTCAGGTTGAAAAAAAAAAAGTTAAATTGTGCCTTGAAAATAATATCTTCATAAGCAATGTAAGAAAATAAGGTCATTACAGCAGTTTGAATGAGCACAATGAGTATTCGCATTATAGCGTTTTTTCTTTTTTCTTTTTTCTTTTAAAGGCGTGGCAAAATAGAAACGCTGCACTGGTTATATCATTTTGAGTCATATACCTCCATAAACTACCATCCAATTATGAGGGTCCAAAAGTAATAAACTGGATTAATAAATACTGCAGAATACAAGTATAGCTGAAATTTGCACACAGCATCATATTGCATTTATACCCAGCAAACGCATAACATTCGCTTAACATTCCCAGTTGGTTGCCTTTGGTCTCGGTCTCTCTAGATATGGCTATTTGTACTTTTTAAAGTTACTTTTAATGCTTCGTGTGACCTACTGTATATTGCGTTTACAACAAGCATTTGCAATCATTTGCATTTGTTTGCTGTATCAAAATCAATAGCTACATAATGGAACTGGATTTTTTTTTTTCCATACTTGACTAGAATATCGTATTGCATTGCATATACAGGGGCCGATGCTAGAGACCAGAATATTGCAGGGACTTTGGTCAGTATGCAACCATCTAGAAACTGCATTTCGGTTCAATTCAAGTCATGTTTATTTGTATATCGCTTTTCACGATACGCATCATTGCAAAACAGCTTCACAAAAAAATTAAAAAGTTTCTACATTACGTTTAGGAGTAGTTTATCAGTGGTGACTGTGTCAAGGTGATGTCCATATGGCAGAAATGTACAGTTCAGTTCTTATTTTCTAATAATATTACCAAGGGGTGACATTTATATTGTAAATAGCAGAGGGCCTAAGACAGATCCTTGCAGTACTTCATACTTTACTGGTGTTAATTGAGATGATTCCCCATTTAAATAAACAAGTGGTAATGGTCAGACATGTAGGATCTATCCTGAAGCCTGTCCGTGAACACCTTTATAATTTTGTAATCGAACTATGAGTATGTCATGATCTGTAGTGTCGATGTCGAATGCAGCACTAAGATCAAGTTAAAATAGTACTGAGATGCAGTCTGGTGCGAGAAGCAAGTCATTTGTGATTTCCGCAAGTGCAGTTTCTGTTATGATGGCACCTAAAACCAGACAGAAATTCTTAATAGACAATTTTGCATTTGACTGGCAACCGCAATGTTCACATGAACCCTTTTCACAAGACTATGATGATGTGTTTAACGGTCATCACCATCGTAAATCCTCAAGTTTTTTTTTTTACATTTTGATTTTTTTTTTTTTAAATGTATGTACATTTATAACTTTGTATTATATAAAAAATCTAGTTAATGCGAAGGTGTTTCTAATGCAGCATCTATGTTATAACGTTCTCTCTTCTGACTGCCGTTGTCAGTCTCTCAATTTTTTTCCTTTTTTTGAAAGTCATGAAAACACTAACGTGGAGTTTGTCTTTTGCTATTTGAGCAAATGGGAATGCAAAAAAATATATTTGTGGTACTTTCCCATTCACAGCTCTTGAAGTTAACCGAACTATGACGACTTCTGCTGCTGAGAAACCCGGAAATGTGAAAAGGGTCCATTTGCTAATGTTTTTGGGAACCAAATAAAGAACGTTCTCTGTTGGTTCTCTTTTGCAACCAAAAACTAACCTTCCCAGAAAGTTCCAAAAATTGTTCGCTGGCTATATCTAAATTTCAGAAATGTATTTTAGAAATAAATGGGAAAACTATGATATAGTTAGTCTGTAATTAATTGAAATTAGTCGTGTTTAACTACATTAGGTTGCACAGGTTTTGTGGTTTGTGTAGATCTGATTGACAATATTTAAAGTAAATTGTGCATTTTTATACTGTGCTTTGTAAAAAGAGCTAAATGTGTTTCGTATAGGCAACAAAAAGCCTTTGGCCCTGAGATAAATCAATGACCGCAGCTTCTCTCCATAGTGAAGAAATGAGCTGTTTGTTTGATACCTGTTTTAATGATCCTCTGGGCACAATTCCACACACCCTCACCTTTCCCTCTCAGACGGGGATTTCAAAAGCGCTGATATGGCAACTGCAGATAAACCTTGTAAGAAAGCCTCCACAATAATCATTAAAACAGCACGGAGGAGATCTGAGCCTTCCGGCTTGGGCCCCAAACCCTCAGAGGTCGAGGCTGAGCTCGTGCGTTTGCATATGAAAAGCTGTTATGACTGGAAGCTGGATGCCCCTCCAATCCCTTTAAGCTTTCAAAAAGTCTCCTCATACATAACTGGTAAGTATTTCATGTTAAAATGATAATAAGAGACGGTACAGTCAATGGGGATGCGAAACAAAAGAGAATCGGCGGTAAATCCGGGCGTCCCGGACCCGCTGACAGCGGGGGGTGGAAGTGCTCAAACAATGGCTTTCATCACATGGTCAGTGACGGATTAGAGTGCATTAAGTACTCGAAATGTGCCAAGTGCAAAGGGACGGAGCTTATTTAATGGGCCGTAACAGTGTGGTGTGGCCCTGTATATGCAATACGAGATTCAATAATATTTTCCATACTTAATATTGAATCAATATTCTAGTCAAGTATGGAAAACAAAACCCAATCAGATGTAGCTATTGCTTCTGATACAGCAAACAAATGCAAATCTTTAATATAGGACACATGAATGTGGCTCAGTGGTAGAGTGTTGTGTTAGCAGCGCAAAAGGTCATGGGTTCAATTCCCAGGGAACACACATACTGGTAAAAAATGTGTAGCCCGAATGCACTGTAAGTCACATTTAAGAGTCTGCTAAATGCATAAATTTATCATTTAAATGTATTAAAGCATTAAAAAAGCTTCTGCCATATTTTGGTCTCTTGATATGGCTATTTGTAAAATTTGTGGTTTTTAAAATGACTTTTAATGTTTACATTTGTTGGAATGTGACTGGTTTTTTCCCCCCATACTTGACTAGAATATTAAATATCATATTGTGTGTGTGTGTATATATCTACAAGAGACCAGAATATTGCAGAGGCAATGTTAAAAATAGTCATGCTGCTTAATATGTTTGCAGAAACGGATAAAAAAATTTTCTCTGAATTTTTGGGCTACAAGAGACCAGAATATTGCAGAGGCAATGTTAAAAATAGTCATGCTGCTTAATATGTTTGCAGAAACGGATAAAAAAAATTTCTCTGAATTTTTGGATGAATACAAAGATCAAAAGACATTGTAAATGTCTGTACTGTCACTTTTGATCAATTTATTGTGTAAAATATTAATTACTTCAAAAAATCTTGACCCCAAACTTTTGTACGGTTGTGTGCGTGTGTGTGTGTATAGTCGCTCCTGTTTTTCATTAAGTGTGTGTGTGTGTGTGTGTGTGTGTGTATGGCTGTATGACATTCATTGAATCCATTTCTCTGTCAATGACTCATTACTTCAGTGAGTCAGTCATTTACATGAGTGAAGTTCAGCATCGCTGCTATTTTCCTGTCCGTCCAAATCACGTCTCACCCCAGTTTGATCCCCGTGATGAATCCATGGAGACCCAAAAACTCTCGAGGAC